AGTAAGCTGAAATGAAGAAAACCAATTATCAGCACTAGTATGCCCTCATTATCGGCACCATTATTGAAAGTATATGAAATTTATAATCTTACCGAATTTTGGTGCCGAAAATTGGTATAAAGGAATTTAGCTCTTTTATATAAATAAAACTCACACCGAGTCTCCAGAATCCTCATCTGTGAAAGCACTGACATCGGGGGGTTCTGTGTAAATTGCAGATACATCTAAGTCATCATCGGCATACGCCATTTTAAGGGCTCCTTGCAGAGAAAATCCTCGCCTGGAAAAAATTATTCTGGCAGCAAATAAAATTTATGTAATAATAATAATAATAATATCTTATAATGGCTAAAATCATAATAAGCAGGCGCAACACAGTAAAAGTATACCCGCGACATTTCATAACAATCATGCTCCTATATTATCCTAGCGTTACATATTTGTAACACTGCTGTTATTCATCGAATAAAAAGAAAATATTCAAACCATTGATGAATGATTTTCAGCCACTATTTGTAAGAAAATATAAATACAGTAATACTTACTGGAAAGAGGAATCCATTTTTCACAATTTTTTAAAACACCAGGTAACAAATCGACCTCTCAAACGAACACAATACTCTCATATCGTCAACTGTTGATGAAAAACGTTTCTAAGCTGTTTAAAGAGCATAGCTGACGCTATCTATGAGGTTATTACAAAACTTTACTTCAATCATTAAAATAGATTTCGCCAATTTTGCGTTACTTATGTGTAACGCTAGGTGATTAAGGGTTAAAGTCAATATCAGCATTTTAAGTATCAAAAATATGATGTTTCACTTTAATATGATGAAGCACAAGTTGCTGTCAAAGCAAGACAAGAACAAGACAGGTCTAACCTAATTATTTTTCACGTGTTGCGATGTCGGTTGATCGATAGGTTGAGTAGTGGGGGTAGAGTCGCATAATGTATAAATTGGACAAATTTCTTGTTTTTGAATAAAATTCGGGCCCTGTGCCGATAATTAGCGGACTGCCGATAATTGGTACGTTTACCTTAGGTACTTTTACAAACTATTCACTTTTTTGAAAGATAGGGATTTTTTGCACAAAATTGAATGTGTTACTTAGGGACGTCTTAGCCAAAAACGAAGTATACCAAAGGAAATCTTACGAAATTTTCCAATGGATGCCGTTATTAGTTCCAAACTCGAAAAATGTCACTTAGGGACTTTTTGCATAGAGCCCTTCAAATGAATTCTTTTACCCACTCTTTTTTATATTGCTGACTATATTTTCTTTTTTTGTTTTACTTGAGGTAGCATCTGACGATACATTACCAGATTCTTCAGAACTAAAATAATGCGTGCTACATTTATATCGAGCATATTTTAAAGTATTTTGTACTCACCTCATTTCTTTATTATGAACGCACTACGCACCAAGGATTATTGTGTACATCGATCGGCGACTCATCAAAGTCGTACAACATACTCAGTGCGGCGTTGTCCCGGCTTCCTGTCGAAATCGTTCTGTCTCTTGTCTGCAGTGAGTAATGACGCCTTAATATCGATATTAGTTTTGTTATAGTTGCACAAGGAATACTTAAACAGGTATAAGCTATGAAATGATTTAAAATAGTTTGTACTTCTAAAATATTATGTGTGTCAGAAAATAAATTAAGTCATGTGTAATAAAACAACGGTAGAAATTTATAGTTTAACGGTAGCGCGGTAGCTCATACATGAAAACGGTAGATCTACCCCTAAAATGGTCCTTGTCTGTGGGTTTACTACCCCAGACAGTCTAGAGATACGTCTTGAGGCTATGGTTACTTATTCTAAATATCTTGGGAATCCTTTTAAAGCCGCTCCCCGTCTTTTTCATCAGGTATGCGTTGGGTCTGGGTATTTCTTTCCCCTCCAGTGCCGCAAGAGAGGCACCCTCCCACGACACTAGAGATGGAACGACCTTCTCTACCCACCTCGCGGCTGTGTCATCTGCGTAGGCAGTCAGGATGGATTTCTGGACTGCCATAAGCTTGTCCGGTTCTATCGTAACTTCCGGGAAACCCTTGTGTACCACCGCTATCCTAACAGAAGCAGTGGCTTCGCTGTAAGACACACCTTCGGTTTTTGGCCTTTTCCTTTGGCGTTGGCTTTCAGGTGGTGTGGTAAGGTACATATCTATATATATTTGTACATATAAATTTCAATATACATAGTAACATAGTAAAAGTTACATTAAAACAGACAATTTAAATTTTTGATATACAGGGGGATCAAACTAGATCTTGATATGCAATTATAACAACCATTAGACTATTGTTAATTGTTAAAACAATAAACTACTAAATATTTCTCGAAATTCTCAATTAAAAAATTATGTTTTCTGTCAGAGTACAAAAATGTATAAATGGAGAAACTCCTTTTCACATCAACTGACGTAAGAGGTGCGCTTTTTAAATTGCTCAATATCGTAGGATCCAAACCAATGGGTTCATTAAAACTTCCATTGAAAATATCAGCTACTTGGCTAAGAAGTTGAAATTCACTATTTTTTTCCTTGACATATTTGAATTTTTGAAAAATTTTGCCTCCGGTTTTACCTGCAACATTTTGAAAAGCAGCTTGGGATTGTTTTACTAGTTCTACACTTCGGGTTAATGGCAAATTAGATTCCTCCATTTGTGTTATTGTTTTAGGAAGAAAGCTATAATTTGTTTTTATAAACGAAAGTTGCTGTTTTATTTCCTGGTTTTCGAATAATTGTTTAACATCTGTAAGATATTGTAAAGATTCGTCCGATAATTCTGAAATCAGATCTTTCAGTCTACAGAAATTGTCGCAATAAAATATTGAGGCTTCCAGCCAAGTGCCCCATCTTGTAATAACAGGTTGCGGTGGAAGAGGAGTGTTTGGTAATTTTTCTTTGTAGAACTGAATCCTCGTATGTGCTTTAAGAAATACTTTTTCATGTTGGAAATTAAACTATTTACAAGCGGAAAATGTTTCCTAGTCTCTTCAGCAACCCTATTTAAACCATGAGCAAGGCACGTAACATGTATCAAGTTCGGATAGAATATTTTCAAATGTTGGCCAGCCTTTAACATGTATGGTGCTGCATCTGACAAAATTAGCAAAAAATTATCTCCGGGAACAGGCGTAGGAAGAAAAAAATTTGATAGTTCCTCTTGAATAAATCTGGTCACTGTCAATGCATTTGTTTTTTCTAACTTTTTAGAGTGATACTGATCACTCATTTTTTCCATATCAATGGTATTAATATTATTTACAGCTAAATTTTCGTTCACACAAATCTGTGTGTGTCTTTATAATATTAAAAGGAAATGTGTACAAAAAAATCAAAAAGATGGCAGCGTTCATTTAAAATGCTCTTCCACAAATTACATAATAAGTGACTCACTTAATATCAGTAACTCGCGTAGGTACATTTACAATCTGATTTAAACTAAAACTTGACAATAGTGCTAATATTTTCTTAGTGTCACTAGACTGGCGATTTAGTAGATTTATGTTAATGTCCCCTAAAATTGGACCCCGTTATGCACCAAGGAACCAACCAACATTTACATTATTCGGAGAAAATTAAGAAAAACTTTTTAAATTTTCAACTGAAATATTTGTTAAACAAATATATTTATTTATCAGAAATAACAAGTTTTTTTAATCGTTTATAATCAAACCAGTGTTTTTAACAATTTTAATAAACAAAACGCAACTCCTAGTATTGAAAAAAACGCGTGGTTCTCTATTGCCTGTCTACAATTTTGGCATTTTTGATTTTGAAAAGAACCAAGTTAATACAAGATCAAAATTTTTTGATAATACTCGTTATCATTAAACTATAAAAAGACAGGTGGTTCACTAAATAAACAAAAAAATATTTTTTATGTTATAAAACAATAAAAAAATAAAAATATAACTAAGAAAATAAGGTTAGAGTGATGTTGGGGGTGTCGAGTCTTACTTAAACAACTTAACCAGAACTTCTTTGATATGATTTTAAAGGAACTAAGAATATGATGCTAAAAATTATATCAGGGAACACATTAGTATAATATAAAAAACACTTGATTCTCTGTTGTAATGTAATAAAAAAATAAACTCTTATGTTATAAAAGAGTAACGCTTTACAAAATAAACACATAGGTATCGGTAAACTACTAGTCGTTCAACTCAAAATCCAATTCGCCATTAAATCCATCTATATCCTCCTCTACAGACTAACTTCCTGTAAGGTTTTCATAAAAGTGGTGGTCTGATGAAGGGATTAGACGTAAATAGGATTTAATAACGTTTATTTTGGCTTCCGCACTGGCTTGCCGTTGAACCATAGAGGTTTTAAAAATTGACTAAAATTAGTTTCGTTATGTTTTCCTTTTTTTTATTTATTGTTATTTCTTTGTAATCATTGCCATTATAATCTGTTTTTTAAAAATACTATATTTTTTATTTTTTTCAAGTTTAATTTCTTTAATTTTTAGCCAGTTTATTTTTTCATTATCACACGTTTTTTTTTCGATTAACTATTTCTTTTTCTAACTTTCGGTGCTTTTAAAATCATTTTTTTCCATTTTTATTAGATGGATTGGATTTCCTTTTCTACATATTCTCATTACATTAAAATAATCCTCCGGAGAATACAGCTTATTTTGAATTTTTAATCCGCACTCGACATCCCCAAAATCACTATCGTTGGGCACTAAGTACTTGTCGAAGGTAAAACTAGAACTTTACTCTTTTCAGTTTCTTTACATAATGTGGTTATGCTTGAGTCGGAATGATTCGTTTCGTGCTGAAAACAAATACGCAATAAGGAACCAACCCAAATTTTATTAACCCTTGAGGGATTGGGTGCCCGCAAATTACATGAATAGTTGGGTGGTGTCTGACAGACCCAGTTTTTATTTTGCAGTTTACACTATTAAACAAGAAATAAAATTATTTAATACTTGCACAATCTTGTTTTATTTTATTTTTAACACAAATCAACTATTCTAAAAACATTACTAAAATAAACAACATTTTTAACAAAACACAAAAAAAATACAAAAATGTACTTCTCTCACATTTAACCGAAAAAACATCTTAGTCTCTAGTTCCGTTTTGAATGGATTCTTCGTACATTGGTTGAAGATGATCTAAGCATAGCCATTTGTTACATTTTACACAAAAATATCGTGTTTTACGATTTGAGCAGTAGGCGCAATGACCCCGTTTATTTTCACGCGGTGGCGCGGGTTCTGCAGGTACTCCACTTAATTTGGGGCAATATTCCTAATTTCTTTTTGTAAATGAAGGTCTTTTGCTCTTATCAGCACGTTCTCTCTTATCAAGGCTAACCCAATTGCTTTCAGAAACAATCTTCGCTCAGAAATTTTATCGGCCTCATTTGCATTACATTTATGTACTACGTGCGAGTTTATGCCTGCAATGTTTAGTAAATTATAAAAAAAATTACCATAGGCCACCTTCGCGTGTTTCTGGTTACGTTATATGCTGCACATTTCTGATCGACTGAGTCAACACCTGATTTTGTAATGTTATAAAATGTAATAATATTCGGCTTACATGTATCTCCAGAATCTTCGTCTATTGTGTCGTCATAGTGAAAAGATGATAACATCGTCACTACTTTTTTTTTGGTATGTATGATGCCAAAGTCATGAATTTGGAGAACGCAAACATAGAGGAGTACTGTGGCCTGTTGGGATCAAGAATTTCTTTTGGAATCTCCCTTTTATTTCTGCGAATTATATTCGCAAAAATGTAAAAGGGAGTAAAGTAGGACAATTGCATAATTGTAATTTTGTGCAGCTCTAGCATGCGTTTTATGCGCCGCTCTAGCATGCTTGTCAAGGATGGCTCAAGATATTTGAGCATAAAGTTTTATAACCTGGTACTAGCTAGAATTAAGGCTCTTAATTTTAATCAGTACAAAAAAGAAATCAAAAACTACCTTATAATGAATGCATTTTTTTCTTTTGAGGAGTACTTCAGTGCCAGCTTTAGTCTGTAATTTCATTTGTTTTGTCTATGTTAGTTTGTGTGTTGTATCTGTTCATTTATAACTTATAATTGACATACATATTTGTTTTAATCTTAACGTTTTAATGGTTGTTCTATTGTATAAATTTTATTCTATCAAATTTGTATATTATTTTGCAATGTAAAAACAAAACAAAAAAAAACTGTATAAAGTAGGCGTTTAATAGTCATTCAATGTTTTTATTGTTTTCTGTGTTCCTATTTTTATGTGTAAAGTTGCCTTTAGTTATTGTACGTGTGGGACAACCTTAAGAGTATGTCTGTCAAAAAGCCGAAAGAAGATGGCGAAACAATAAAGTTGTCAGTAATACGTCCGCTGTTTTAATAAAAGTTTTTAATTGCAATAGTAATACCTCTGAGTAATACTATCAACAAAGAAAAAGTTCAATTTTCAACATATTGGTCCTTCGAGCCGGATAGCTGGTGAAGTTTTCAATTATTTCAAAGATTCAAAGAAAATCCATACTTTTCCGATCAATTTCTATCGTTCAAGGTCGAAGCCGGACGAGTCCAATTGCGCAAGACGATCCAGAATAGGGGAGTTGCGTAGTAAAAGCGGCGGAAGAGTGGACTGGTCCAACTGTATCGAAAAAGGGGAGGCCACATCGACGAAAGCAGAGAAAGATACGTTTTGAGATTGCGCCCGGGATTGGTAAAACTACGACGCAAATTGCCGGTGAGTCCGTTCCTATTTACCTTTATTATCCTTTTCTTTCAACGGGAAGATAGGTTTGCTCCAAATTCTTATTAATAGGTTTTAATATCAAAATGCAAAACGAGGAGACAAGGCAATTCGGATACGGTGACATTAAAAACATTCAAAGATTTTTTACGTTCAAGAGCCGATTTCTTAGAAACAGTTTTAATGACCAAAGAGGTCAAGATACAATCTCATTCATATCAAATTTCAACAAAGTTCAAAACTGAATGCATTTTTTGCAAGGGTTCAAATCATTATATACAAAATTGCAATGATTTTTTAAAGCTTTCAACTCAAGATCGTCTTAATCAGCTTAAGAATCGAAAATTATGCTTAAATTGTTTACGCGGTTTTCATACGATCAACAATTGCCTAGCAGGACATTGCAAAAAATGTACTCAAAAGCATAATACAATTCTTCATAACGACTTTCAAGTAAATTCAAGACCAGAGCGTCCAACAACTTCATCAAATAACGCATTTTCTGCAACTTCAAGCATTGCTTCGGATAATATTCTATTATCTACAGCACTAGTTCAAATTAAAAATTCAAAGGGATATTTTCAAACATGCAGAGTTTTATTAGATTCTGGGTCCCAATCCAATTTTATTACAGAAGATACATGTAAGAGATTAGGTCTAAAGACATTTCCAGTAAGTATTTCTGTTTCGGGTATCGTTCAAACTCCTTTTCAAATCAAACAGCGATGCAATATTACTGTAGTGTCCATGCATAACTCATTCAAAGCTGATATTTCATGTTTACTTCTACCTACAATTAATAAAGGTTTACCATTCCAGTCATTCGACCTTTCAAATTTAAATATTCCTTCCAATTTGAGGTTAGCTGATCCTGGTTTATCGGTTTCTTCAAAGATTGATATTCTAATTGGTGCTGAATGGTTCTACAATTTATTATGCATTGGTCAGTTCCGCTTAGGACCTAATTTACCTACGTTACAAAAAACTGTTCTAGGATGGGTAGTCTCTGGAAAATTATACAATGATCCTATTGCTGCGCAATCCATGTGCAATTTTAGTACAAGTTCAAACGACGAAATCTATTCTTTATTGAAAAGGTTCTGGGAAGTCGAAGAAACTGTTCCACCTGGTTCAAATGTGAAATTCTCCTCAGATGAACAGCTTTGCGAGGACATATTTTCTAAAACAACCGAGCGAAAAGACGACGGTAGATTTATTGTTCATATTCCCTTAAAATGCGATCCTATTATTCTAGGTGATTCTCGTGAAATTGCTACCAAAAGATTCTATTCTTTGGAGAAGAAATTGAATCGTGAACCAAAGTTAAAGGAAGAATATGCAGCATTTATGAACGAATATATTCAACTTGGTCATATGCGAGAAATATCTAAAATTGACGAACATTCTAATTCTGGTTTTCTGCCACATCATGCAGTTGTTAACGAAAATAATCAAACTACTAAGCTTAGGGTTGTGTTCGATGGCTCGGCACAAACTGATAATGGAATTTCTTTTAATAGTTTGCAGCTAGTTGGTCCTACCATTCAGGATAATCTTTTTTCCATTTTATTAAGATTCCGACAGGGGCCTATTGTCATCTGTGCGGATATTGTTAAAATGTATCGGCAGATAGAGATTCATAGATCACAAAAACATCTCCAAAATATTCTATGGCGTTTCGATTCTTCAGAGGAATTAAAAACTTTCGAATTACAAACAGTAACTTACGGTACTGCATCAGCTCCTTGGTTAGCTACAAGATGTTTAAAGCAATTGACCATAGATTATTCCAAAATATTCCCACAATCATCTCATTTCGTGGCATCCAATTTCTATATGGATGATTTGTTGATAAGTTGCAATTCAGAAAGTGAGGCGTTAACAATATGTGACGAAATTTCAAAAATACTTTCTTCAGGCTGTTTTCAACTTCAAAAATGGGCAACTAATAGTACCAAAATTCTTCAGCACATTCAAAATCCTTCTACTATTCTTAAAATTGGCAAGGATCAACGAACCAAGATTCTAGGTTTGTATTGGTCTTATGAAGACGATCAGCTAATGTACACTATTGCTGATTTTATCAGTTTAAATAAGTTTACCAAGCGTACTATAATGTCTGATATAGCTCAGATTTTTGATCCCTTGGGACTCTTGGGCCCATGTATCATTTTAGGAAAAATTCTTCTTCAATCACTTTGGTCCTTAAAGCTTGACTGGGATGAGTCTCTTCCAGCTACTATAGACAATCAATGGCGGCAATTACGGCAAGAACTACCAGTACTTAACATTTTAAAAATACCCAGATTTGTTTCAAATACGTCAATCGTTAAGTTGGAGTTACACGGGTTTGCCGATGCCTCTTTACAAGCATATGGCGCATGTCTATACATTCGTAGTATATCTTCCAGCGGAGAGATTCAGGTAAAGCTTTTGACAGCTAAAAGTAGGGTTAGTCCTCTAAAATCGTTAACAATTCCAAGATTAGAACTGTGCGGTGCTCTCTTGTTAGCACAGCTAGTTGATCGAGTGAAAAATTCAATGACTTTTACTTTTGATGATATATTTCTTTGGTGCGATTCCACTGTCTCTCTTGCCTGGATTCGTACTTCTCCAAGTACTTTGCAAGTTTTTGTTCAAACCAGAGTCGCTCAAATACAAAGGTTAACACAACCTAACCAATGGCATCATGTTCGAACCGCCGACAATCCTGCAGACTTTCTTTCCCGAGGTATTTTGCCTAGGGCTCTTTTGGATTGTACTATGTGGTGGAATGGCCCACAATGGCTTAGCCAACCTAAAGATCAATGGCCCTATTCTGCAGCTACTTTTGAAGGAGAACTCCCAGAAGTTAAGAAACAAAAAATAATTCTCGCAGCTTTTCAAACTTCAAATTGGATTAATATTAATAAATTTTCAAACTTAATGAAACTTCAACGGGTGGTCGCTTATTGTCTTAGATTCATATACAATTGTCGAAATCCCACTGACAAGCAATTTAAACCTTTCAAGGCAAAGGATTTATCTGATACTCTTAGATACCTTATTACGATATCTCAAAAGGATGATTTTGCAGAAGAAATTCAAACGTTGCAAAGGAGTCATGCGTTGCCAAGGCAATCTAAGCTTCTTTCTTTAAATCCTTTTCTAGACGATGAGGGTATTTTACGTGTTGGTGGACGTCTTAGTCAATCAAATTTTAGTTTTGATGTCAAACATCCAATACTTCTTTCGTCCAAGCACCATCTTACAAAATTGCTTTTTAGACACGAGCATCTAAGATTATTCCATGCTGGACAACAACAACTGCTTTATTCAATTCGTCAACGTTATTGGCCACTGGCTGGTCGCAATTTGGCTAAACAAATTGTTCATTCCTGCATAAAATGCTACCGCTGCAAACCACTGCAACCTTCTCCAATCATGGGTAATCTTCCAAAAGCGCGTGTTACTCCTGCTCCACCCTTTTATAATACTGGCATAGACTACGCAGGTCCAGTATATTTGAGTTCAAAAAAGGGAAGAGGAGCCAAGGTTTCTAAAGCGTATATTGCGCTATTTGTGTGCTTTGTGACCAAGGCCACTCATTTAGAATTGGTGAGTGACTTATCAAAGGATGCCTTCATTGCTGCCTTCCGGAGGTTTGTAGCACGCCGTGGTAAGCCAAGTAATGTTTATTCCGACAACGGAACAAATTTTGTAGGAGCCAATTCAGAGTTACGAGAATTATCTCAATTTTTAAAATCGCAAGAACATTCTTTACAAGATAGTATATCTAATATTGGCGTAAATTGGCACTTCATACCCGCATTCTCACCTCACTTCGGAGGAATTTGGGAAGCCGGTGTTAAGTCGGCTAAAAGACACTTGACTCGAATAATCGGTAGCGTAAAACTTACTTTTGAAGAGTATTGCACTATATTGGCAGAGGTTGAAGCAATCCTAAACTCTCGTCCAATCACTCCCATGTCCTCAGACCCCAATGACCTATCCGCTTTAACCCCTTCTCATTTCCTTATCGGACAACCGGCAACATCACTTCCCGATCCAGACCTTAGAGACATTTCAACGTCACGCCTTTCAAGATACCAGCTGATGCAGCAGTGCCAACAACATTTTTGGTCCCGCTGGACTCGTGAGTTTCTTAGCGAGCTTCAGTTACGCACCAAATGGAAAACTCAGCAAGCAGCACTTCAAGTTGGGTCTCTTGTTGTTCTCAGAGATGACCACTCTCATCCACTTCAATGGAAACTCGGTAGAATCGTCTTACTTCATCCAGGATCAGACGGCATCGCTCGATAGCTACTATCAAGACATCAAGTGGAACTGTGAAACGGAGTTTTGCCAAGTTTTGTGTATTGCCGATTGAGGTTGAAAGCTGACTCTTTCAAGGCCGGGGGCATGTTTAATAGTCATTCAATGTTTTTTATTGTTTTCTGTTTTCCTATTTTTATGTGTAAAGTTGCCTTTAGTTATTGTACGTGTGGGACGACCTTAAGAGTCTGTCTGTCAAAAAAGACGAAAGAAGATGGCGAAACAATAAAGTTGTCAATAATACGTCCGCTGTTTTAATAAAAGTTTTTAATTGCAATAGTAATACCTCTGAGTAATACTATCAACAAAGAAAAAGTTCAATTTTCAACAGTAGGAAAAACAATTTTAACTCTTACACCTGATACATAATTCTTATCAATTTTTATCATTTTATAAATATTTTTTGACTTGTAAAAACTTTTCTTGTATGCTATTACTAATAAATAAACAAAACTAAACTATATATGGTTGTAAAAATAATATATATTCAAACATAAATCAAACGAAACTCAACTGTGAAACTTATATTTATGCATAATGAAAAAGGTAATAAGTGGTGAACATTATTTTTAGAAACTAACTAACACTACTAATTAACTAAATAACGAAATACCAAGTCTAAGATCAGGCTCCAGGATTGCTACGTTTATCATGTAGTTAATCAAAATTTAATTTTTACATATATTTATGAATAGGGGAATACACTTAAGAAATTTGTATAAGTGCAAATCTAAAGTATGTATTAGGATGTATTTCATAAAAATATTTTAACTTCTAGAGGAGGGCTCAAAAGTGTGAATGCACTGGGATGATTTTTTTAACTGGAACGCCCTGTTGTTATTTCTTTGCCAGATGGAGAATTAAAGCTATTTCTATTTAAAGCATTTTAGAATTTTTAGCGGTTTCCCTATTCATACACATATGTAAAAATTAGATTTTGATTAACTACATGATGAGCGTAGTAATCCTGCAGCTGGATCCTGTACTATAAAATAAATGACATTCTAGTTTTCATTTTAAAAAATAATTAAAAATTAAATAGTAATAAATATTACATTCTACAGTATGTTCCCGGATTGTCTTTAAAAGAAGAAACATTTTTTTATTATTAACATTTTGAGGAAAATGCAATCTGGCCTAAATTTTTTTGCTTACTCTAAAATGGTCAATACCGTTTAAAATTTTTCAAATTTCCATACCGTTTTAGAGAAAATTAAAATCGATTTCATTCTTTGATAGATGGTTACTATTCATTTTGATTAACGTCATATTTTCTGATATTGTAAAAGTATCACATTTTCCGATAACTATTAACACCCTTTCCTTAGCCAAAGTTTACAGAATAAAATAGTTTTTTTTAATTTTGCCGTAGCTTTGAAGTAAATAAATTTTGTGCTTCTTTAACATTTTAAAACAGCAAAAAATATGACGTTAATTAAAATTCCATCGACGACAAAAAATGACAGAAAATACAATTTGACTGTGAATTAAAATGACTGACACAATTGTCACTGTCAGGAATCCTGTATTTGAATCTTTTTTTGGACAGACTATATCAAAGAATGGGTGGGAAAACGATATTATATTACCACAGCAACGCGCTTTGATTTTTAGGACTAGAAAAAATTCTATCATATTTTCAAGTTTTTTTAATTTTCTCTAAAACGGTATAGAAATTTGGAAAATTATAAACGGTATTAACCATTTTAGAACAAGCAAAAATTTTTATGAAGAATGCATTTTTCTGAAAATATTAATAATAAAAAAGTGTTTTCTCTTGTAAAGACAATCTGGGACATACTGTATATGAAATGGCGTTCGCAGGGTTAGGACCAGGAAATAAACAATCTTTTATTTAAAAAATTGCCGACGTTTCCACGTGTAATTTCGTCTTTATCAAAGCTGAAATACAGAGAAAAAACTCTACTTACATTATAAAAATTATTGTGGCTCAGAATTCTTATCTCAACTTTTTTTTTAATTTTTATATCAGCAATATCAACAGTATTCAACACATTAGGAAATGCCACAAATATAAGTAAAACAGCAAAACAAGAAAGAGATAAAAAAAGACATAAATAATTATATACCTATTTGCAGCCAAAAGTTTACAAAAGAACCTTTTGGCTGAAAATATGTATGCCTTTGTATTTTTCATATATTTAATTGTTTGGGTGTATAATTTTTTATGTTTTTTTTTGAGAATTCCTTTCTTGTTTTGCTGTTTTACTTATATTTGTAGTATTTCCTAACTTGTAGAATACTGCTAATCTTAATGTTTTAAAAAATAGAAATGAGAATTCTGAGCCACAATAATTTTTATAATAGAAGTGGTTTTTTCTCTGTATTTCAGCCTTGATAAAGACGAAATTACACGTCGAAACGTCGGCAATTTTTTTAATAAAAGTTGTTTCCTTCCTGGTCCTAAACCTACGAAAGTCATTTCATATATAGCATACAGACGCCAATCTACCACACATTACATATTGTTACGTTTTTCGTCGGTTCCGTGTGGATAAAAAGTCACAATTTATTTAAACACAATTTATTTACACTAAGTAACAAACAATAACGATTAAAAAAACTTAAAGAACTATTTATAACTTATTTACAATTTATCTAACTATTTATCTAAAAGGAATTTATTTTGAATTTAGCGCGGCGATTGTAACTGTACGCGTCGACCGGTTGTTTTTCTCTGTCCTCCTCGGGCTTCATGCGTCGGCTTATATATGAGAGAAACAGACAATCCCTATTTGACTCGAAAATTCTTAGCCGCGTTGTTCGTCTCACTAGCTTCTTATTCGTTCTCGAACGTCGCCGGGCGTATGAGTCATAGCCAAGTGGCCAGGCCTAAGCCGCCTAAGGCCGAGTTCACACGGGTCCGCAATAATATTATCTAAGTTTTTTTTTAAATTTCCAATTCTAATTTTTGTTATTCGATTATTAAACTGTTTAACTCTTTTTGGTGTTGTTTCTCTTCTCTTAATTAGCTCATTATGATATTATGTTCTTGTTCTTTTCGTTTTTGCTCATCTTTGAGACACTCTATCTGAAGGTTACTCAATTCTAGTTTGGCCTCAGACAGAATACTTATTTTAAAACGACAGTCTTCGGTCAGGACAGTCTTCCTCGTTTTTTTGGGTGTCTTTAAACCTGAGTTATCTAAAAAAAATTACAAAATTAGAACCTGATGCAATCAATATCAATTCTTATTTGACAGAGCACCAAAAGAATACCGAGACCATATTGAATACTACCAAACCTTCTCTGACATCAGTTGTTAATACCAATGCTTTCGGAGCCTTCAGCATAGTGGAATTCCATGCCTTCCAGCTTGACCCTGGCATACTTTCTTGATGTGTATGATCTGAAAATGAATAATGTAAATTATGACAGCATTAACTATTTTCGGTTATCTAGATATTGACATTAAGTGTTGTAGGTTTTTAGAGTCATTGGGGTATGTCAAAACAAGATACATATATATAGATTCATAGATTAGAGCTTTTTTCACTTTTTTTTTGTTGGAATCTATAATTTTTTCAAAATTTGATTCTAAATTCTATTCTATTTTGCACAAGAATTTTGAGATTCCCCTATTATTAATTTGATTTAATTTAGTATACTTTTAGTAATTTAATTATTATACTTGTACTATAAATCCTATACTCTCATTTGTTTGACTGTCCTATATTGTACAACATATCATTTTTTTTTGTCATCACAGGTTTCTCTGGAATAATCCTTGTATCGGGTCGTATACCAAGATACAAAGCGTGCTGTTCATTATGGAGACATAACCTTTTGTACTAGCGATGTTGTGCCGAGTACCACAGCCCTTTGCATCGCCAAAATTGTGCTGGTCGGGATTTGAAGATTTTTTAGGTGGCTTTGCATATTTCTATGTACTAGTCCGTTAGCTGATATAATAATTGGTAGACTCTCAACTTTAGCTAGATTCCATAGCTTTTTGATTTTACTTGCCAGTTCCTGGTATTTAGATATTTTTTCGTCATACATGCGTGTCATATTGGAGTCTAATGGAACTGCAAAGTCTGTTATTGTGACTTTTTTCGCTGCTATGTCTTGGAAAACCATGTGTGGGCGATTATGATGCACTGGCTTATCAGTAATGATATCCATGTTCCATAAAATTTTGTAGCTGGTATTTTGTAGCATTGCCAAAGGTGTGTATTTGTAGTCCGGTGTGTAGGTTTGTAGCAGTTTGTGTTTAAGTCATAGTGCTTGATGTAAAATTTTCCCCATGTTATCGTGTCTGCTAAGGTATGTGGTTGATGTTAGTGATGTGCAGCCTGATATGATATGCTGTATACTTTCTTGAGCAGGGCAACCTAACCGACATGTTGTTGACGGTACGTCTTCTTTTAGTATGTATTTTCTATATGTTCTTGTAGGTACTACTTGGTCTTGTATCGCCGCCAATGCTCCTTCTGTTTCTGGGAAGAGGTATCCGTGCTTCAGGTAGGTGACTGACATGGTCTTGCATACATCCTGCTGTTCAATACTGGCAGCGAACCTCCCATGAAGTGCTTTTTGCGCCCAATCTGATTTTAGTTGTTGTCTCCTTGCTTTGTATGTTTCTACTAGTTGTTGCGCTTTAGTGCACTCAGATTTTTGTCTGCTTTGATGATGGCTTGTATGGTAGTAGAGCGTTTCGCATGAAAATATTTGATGAGACTTTCTTTCTGCTGCAGGTGTGCAAGGTCAAGATTTATAAGAGATCTTCCTCCATCGCTTCTTGGTAAGTATAATCTTTCCAAGGCAGATTTTGGATGGTGCATCCTGTATTTAGTGAGTGTTGTTCTCACTTTTTGATCCAGATGTTTTAGATCAGTGGTAGACCACGGCAGAATACCAAATGTAAACGTGAGTGCAGGTGCTGTCCAGGTATTGATTGCATCAAAACAATTTTTTGCTTTCAGACAGGTTCTCAGTACAATATTTAATCTGCTGGAAAATTCTTCTTTAACCCGTTTTCTGTTTAATGTTTCTTTGATGTGAAATGCGTTGTGGTGTTAGGACTTATTTTGTATCCGTGTGGGCTACTGTTAAGCATGCTACTAAGGCGGTTAAGGGCAAGACAGAACCACAGTGGTCTAAGGCTATCTCCTTGGAATATTCCTCGCCTGATAGGGAGCCGCTCAGTGATGTAAACCTTATTTTTACCATTGACTTGTAAAACTGTACTCCAAGTCTTCATGAGATGTTTTAAAAGATCTGTAATTTGTTTGTCGATTTTATATATTTCTAGCACACGAAGTAGCCAAGAATAGGGCATGGACTCGAATGCCTTACGGTAATCTATCCAAGCCACAGGCGCATTGCGAGTCTTTATTTTAGCGTGTCTTGTAATGATTGTGTCTATCACTATGTTCTCCTTGCCATTATTTGGTGTTGCGAGACGTATTCGCCTATTTTTTTTGTCATTATAGAGGTAAGTATTTTATATGCCGTTGGAAGGCAGGTGATAGGCCTATAATTTTTTGGTTCTTGTAGGTCTCCTGTTTTTGGTAACATTATTGTGATTCCTCTGGTGAAAAATTCTGGGATACACGCAGGTTTAATAAGAGATTCGCTAAATTGGCGTGCGAGGGCATTGTGACTGGATGTTATCTGCTTCCACCAGAAATTATGAATCCCATCGGGTCCGGGGGCTGCCCAGTTTTTTATTGTTTTGAGTCCATGGGTAATATCGTCTGTTCTAATTTGTATGTTTTCCATGGGTTGGACGTTTGCCCATTTATCATTCTCCTCCTGTATCCAGAACGCTCTATCTTCGAGTTGTACGCCTACACTCCAGATATCACTCCAATATGCGAACATGTTTTGACGCTGAGGGCGCGTGTTATTTACTTGATTTCCGGCTGTGCTGAGTTGTCGGTAAAACTGTTTTTGGTTTTTTGTAAATAGAAGATTTTCTTGGTAACGTTTGGTTCGATTTCTGTACCTCTTGAGTCTGTTAGCATATGCTTTAAGTTTCTGCCTCAATTTTTCAAGATGTTCCTCTAGGAGCTGGAGATAACGCGGATTTGACGGTTTGATTTTTTCATTTTTTGCTAGCTGAAGAATTTTATGCTTGAGTTTTTTTGATGGTGGTGTTTTGGGTTTTAGAAATGCGTACAAAGTTCCAATTTGTTTTCTAGTGTTGTCGATTTTCCTTATCAGTCTTTTTTCCCATGGGGGTGAGCTGTGTTCTTTGGTGATATTGCTAGCTGGTTTTATTTTTAGAATTTCACAGATTGTAGCTGCCGCACAGAATGTCTCTTCCAGATTCCCGCTGTCGTCCATTAATGGTTTTACAATATTGTTGATCTTTCGGCAAAATTCTTTACTTTTTTGGTCACTAGGGATTCTACTTATTCTAGGCCTTTCCTCCAATCCTATTCCCCTGTAACTTAAGTCGATATTGTGAAAAACGGCTTCATAATTAGTATCAGTATAGTTTGGGAGAATACTACTTCGCCGTTCAGGTATATATGACTTACGACGATTTTCTGTCGATTTTCGTCCTGAAGGGACCTCTGGCTCATTTGGGATTTCTGTTTGTAATTCTCCAATGTTTTGTTTGGATGCTTTTATTCGTTCTATCTCTGCTAGATTGAATACGTTCCTTCTTATTATTGATCTGACTTGGCCAGAGAGGCGTTGTGCATCCATCTTCATAGTTGGCTGTTCTGTAATCCACTCTAATTCCACTTTTGTTCTATAAGCGGTTAAGTCCGTCTCCAAATTTGTAGCACGATAGTATGCTCTAAGAAGTGCTATATTAAGCTGCTTAGTCCAGCGCATACGCCTACCTCGTGCTGGTGCAGAAGTGGGAGCCACAACTGGTGAGTCCAAACTTTCTGACCTATTCCTTCTTGGTGCCGGCCTTGTGGATCCGTTTCGCGGGGTGACGCCACTTGCTCTATCATTCCTCGCTAGCGCCTGTACAGTCCTGTCCGCTGACGCAGTCGCACCGTCGCGTCAGGGACTTCTAGTAATAGGAACCATTTTTCACTTTTTGCAGGGTGGTTAGCCCATTGCAAAAAGTTTGGCGTCTCTCTTTGTTTAAAGCCACCCCACCACGACAAGATGGAGACGCCATCGGGGGGGAAATTAAAAATATTATTATTAAATGCTTTTATTTCATCTGAAATTTATGTGCAGACACTTGTCATCTGTAGGACATTGAGTCAGGTTGTCTGAAAGAAAATTAGCAACATTGAAGGTGTATTATTGAAATTTATAATAAACATAGAAGCAAAGCTATTATTTGGAGATTTGGCAAAAGAAAACTGTGAAAAATATGAGAAAAATCATTACTGTCACCGCTTGGCTTAGCTGGTGGGCTGTATATTTCGTATGTATGTGAAATTGAAGATGATTAAGAGACAAGAGAATACTGCTAACATTTTGAATTGTGCACATTAGGATAAAATTTTGAGGTTTAAGTAAAACAAAACATCAAGAGAGAGACAGGGAAGTTATTCTCAATGAGGAAGTGAAAATAAGTAAAAGCTTTGCCTCTGTCAACCCTGACTTTTTTGTATCTTTGACTTACTTTACTTATATCATTCAACTTTAATGTTATTTATGACTTTAATTGTTTCATCCTATATATCGTCGCAATCCACACAAAGTGTTGTAACTGACATTTTGAAAATTTTGCAGTAGAGCGAAAAAAACGCCTTTTAGTGTGATCTAAAGATTAACTTTTGTTAGATATACTATTTATTTTGTCTTTTACAGTATAGAGCCTTTTTCTGTTACAGTTACGACACTGTGGGGACTGTTAGCTCACATTAAAAGACGTTTTTTCGCTCTACTGTAAAATTTGCAAAATGTCAGTTACAACACTTTGAAAGGCGACGATATGTACCTACAGCCAAAGTCCACTAATAAACATTTAGTAATGAAACAGAGTCAAATGATATAAATAATTCAAAAACATAAAACACATTACAACCTTTTATGATATATAAGATTTATTATATAGACACATGCAGAAAACCAATAATTATAATCTCCAGAAATGTGTTACTAACCTTCTGTAATACTAGTCTCTCCCTCTCCTTCAATCTCTATATATATATTTTCACATCGATCATTGTCAACCCTATTGGTCAAGCCAGTCATTCCCATTCGACTAAGTTCTTTTAATTTCATGTCGGTGCTGTTGATTTCAACTGGTGTAAATTTTCCACCACCTGTCTTAAAGGTTTGGCGTTTTTCCTCCGCAAACTTCTTTTTTGACTCTGTTTTTAAGTTTTTATATTTGTCTCTCAACGTTTTTGGTGTTCGGCTTGTGCCTGTTAACTTTTCTATCTCCTTCGAAATACTTTCCCAAGCTTGATTTTTTTCTTTCCTCGTTACGGCGCCGCTTTTTTTACATTCCAGGATTAATTGATAATTTTTCACTAATTGAATGAGGATTTCGATATCCGACGAACTGAAATTTGGGGTTCTTTGAGCCTCGGCATTCCTTTTTGATGACATTTTATATTAGCTTAATAAAATTATAAACAATTTAATTGAATCACAGAAAAACTCAACAAACAGGTAGCTATATATACTATAATGGCAGAGATAATGACTATAATAGATATTAACAGCTTATACCATACAGATTATAATCAAACTCGCATCAAACAGTCTCTGAACCTGCTCTTAACTATGAAATCCAATAACTAAAGAAGACAACAATGATGAATGATGAAATCAAACGAAAAAATTACAAATCACAATTTATTAGGTTAGTTTCTATTTTCATCAATTTCGTCATTATTTATTATGGCGATTATCTGCCAATGCTGCAAGACTGCAACCTGCAAAGTGCAACTTAAACCTTAATTATAAAATTGGCATTAAACATCTTCAGAATAAACTAAGATTTAATATTAGGTTTAAGTGGAAAATTAATCTTAGATTTAAGAGCACATTATAAAAGTGGCCCTAAAGAGCCTAACCTTTCCTGTGTCATTGTTGATCGAAGAAATTTTTTTATTAATTTTAATTTAGAAAACGACTTTTCTCCGCTTGCAACTGACAGAGGAATGGTTAATAGGATCCTAAGACTTATGAAAACGTTTGGAAAATTATCTTTTAAATAATTTTTTCTCATAAAATTTAGGACATCTAAAGGAGAGTAACTTGGTTTTTTAACTATATTCTTTAATACAAGAAGTTCACTGTGCAAACTGAGTGGCTCGATGTCATCAGTTAGGAGTGTATGTTAATCTTTACAATTTTTTTATATGGTATCACTATCTACTTCTTTAAGAGATGAAATATCGTATAAAAACAGATCACGATGACTATTTAACTGTTGGAATCGTTCTTTAACAGAGTTTATAGTTTATAGTGACATCAAGTATACAATTAAAAAATTCAATCTCAAATTTTTTTTGTGCGTTTACTATAGGCTCATCACAATGCTCGTAACTAAATAATTTTGATTTTTTTCTAACCCTAACAGCTTTAGTTTTTTCAAATGTAGGCTCTACTTCCAGTTCAGTAGCTATTTCTTTAGCTGCACAAAGCATCTGAGTAAACCCATTTTTGCGATATTCTTCTAAAAAAGCCGTTAAGTCTCCTAGAAGCGTTGTACAAACTGATATATCTAATGTTGGATTTTGAAACATTTTTGAAGAAATAGCCACTTTTGATAATACATCGTACCACAAAACAACACTACAAATAAAATCATAAGTAAACACTTTGTTTGCCAATACCTTACTTTTCTCCCTGGACTCATGATCCCTGATTGTGTCTAAAGAAATAGCTACTAATGCATCGTAAACTTGTTCTAATTGATATCTCAATGGTTTAATAGCATCAATACGGCTAGAACAGCGTGTTGCACATACGCTTTTTTTTAAAGATTTTACGTGTTTATGAAGAACATCCCATCTACTAGTAGAACTAGAAAAAATACAAATAGTTCCTGAACAAGGCCAAAGAAGTTCACAACTTGTCCAGATTTTGAGGCTCCATCATTGACGACAAGGTTAAGAGAATGACAAGCACATGGCACAAAAAATGCTTTTGGGTTTAGATTTAAAATATGCCTTTGGACACCAGAATTAATACCTTTCATGTTGGCCCCATTATCATAGCCCTGTCCTCTAATATTTTCTATTTTTAATTCTACAGAATCAAGAGTATCTAACAAAACTTGTGTTAAAGCGGCACCAGTGCTTTTTTCAACGGGTAAAAAATTAATAAAATATTCCTTAACTGAATATTCCGCATTAAGTTCAATACAACGACGAATTACTAAAGACATCTGTTCTATTCTACTAGTATCTGGAGTACAATCCAGTATAATTCTGTAATATTTTGATTCTTTTATTTTACTGACAATATAACTCCGAAATTTTTGAGCTAAAAGAAAAATAATTTCGTTTTGAATATTTTTACTTAAATAATTAACTTTTCCTTTATTAATTGACTGCATTTCTAAATGCTCCTTTATAATGTTATCAAATTCTGACAAAAATTCTAGAATTTTCAAAAAATTTCCGTTGTTAGGAACGAAAATTTTGTCGCTATTTCCGCGTAGAGCTAAATTTTGCACAGCACATAATTTAATTGCAGCAATAACTCTTTTCAAAATATTTCGCCATCGTTGGCGTTCGATATCTAATCGCTTCTGATACTCGCTATCTATTGTCCGATCTGACTTCAATCTCAAATCTAATTCCATCCACTTATTATAACATTCCATATGGTTTTTAGAAACTTCGTGTAATTTTAAATTTCTTATACAAATACTAAATTAAGTTTAAATTTAAGTAATTAGACTTGGTATATTTTTCATATTAAAAATGCCTTTGAAGTCAGTAACTAACAGTAATTGTATTTTACTAAGAGTGAGTCCCAGGTGGGACCCTCCACTGAGGCCGCGAGGGCCTATTGTGGCTCAGTTTACAAGCTCTTTAATAGAAAAATAACATTAAAGTACACCCTCAAGACCCAGCCTTTTAACGTAGGCCGTTATGTCCGAGGGTGATATGTCTTCTAGGTCTGATAGGTCTAGCGTGGGTCTAGATAGGTCTGATAGGTCTAGCGGTTGTCAAACACCTCAAACCTGGTCCTGCCCCCAGCGGGGCAGATACACATAACGTGCTTCATTGTTTCGTCATCTTCCATACAGAGTCGGCATTCGGTGTCTTCCACCAGTCCCATCCTCTGTAGGTGTGATCTCAGCCGGCAGTGGCCCGTTTGGCCACTGTTGGTGGAACATTGGCATGTTCCATTCCGGGACTGTCATACCAGTCCCGAAACGTCACACCCCTAACCCATTCACAGAGCCTGTCTCTTGCGAGATTTTTTGGTACGCTAAGTGTCGGTTCTGGGCCCACGAATGGCGAGCCTGCACCAGTTTTGGCGAGGGAATCAGCACGTTCATTTCCCTCTAGGCCGACATGTCCCGATATCCATATTAGCGACACTTTGTTTCCATCTCCTAATATATTGAGTAGTTTCTTACAATGAAGAATCGTCCTGGACGTACTTTTCGTTGCCTCAAGTGCTTCCAATGCGGCTTGGCTATCCGAAAATATGCTTATTGTTTTTCCGGTGTATTGCTGTTCTACCAGCAGTTGCACACAGGTTTCAATCGCATATAGCTCAGCTTGGAAAACAGTATAGGTATCTTATAAATAATTTTTTCTTTAGAATGCTACTAAAATTTTTATTTAACTCTCTCTCAACTATATTATTTTGCCAAGGTACAGAACCTTCTGGAGAAACTAGATAATTTGAAAAATTGTCCCTTAAATTATATAAATCCCTCCTTGCTCGGTTAGCAACCACTCGCCCTACAGAATCGAGTGAATCTCTCTGTTCCCTCCAGCCCCCATCGCATTTGTCTTCGCTGTCAATAAAGCCAGGAGGACAATAAGGATTCCTGGCATCATGCATTAACTCTGTTTGACAGAAATTAAGTATTGTTACTGCCTTAACAATTTTGTCGACATTTTCTGGCTTGGCATTTATTGTAGAGGCTAATATGCGCCACCTAGCAACTAATATACCAAAGGTATTTTCAATTATTTGACGTGCGCGTGAGAGTCTGTAATTGAAAATCTTTTGGGTATGGTTCAAATTATTGCCACCATATGGTCTTAAAATATAATTTTTTAAAGGAAATGCTTCATCAGCAACAAAAAAAATATGGCATTTGTATGCTAGATTTCTCTAATAACTGTGGCGGTGGAATATTAAATTCGCGTATTTCCAATTTTTTCCCAAAAACGCTATTACTAAATATACCACCATCGCTCTGGGACCCGTATGCTACAATATCAATCATGGTAAATTTGTATTGGCTATCGCAAGTTGCTAACAACACTACGCTAAATTGTTTTTTATAGTTAAAATATAAGGAGCCACTGTAGGCTGGTGCTTTTATATTAATATGTTTTCCATCCAAAGCCCCTAAACAATGTGGAAAATTCCATCTTTCTTCGAACCCTTTGGCAATATGTAGCCAATCTTCTTCAGATGAGGGAGGTTTTAGGTAGTCGTCTTTCAGAATATCCCAAATTGCTGTACATGTCTCAAGTACTATTTTGTGTACTGTAGTCACTCCAATATGAAAATTCCATGCGAATGATGATCCTTGAGACAAGTACCTAAAAAGATAATTGCAAATTTAATTTAAAAATCACCAAATAATTGAACAAGACTTACTGTCAGCATACAATTAATCTTTGGTCTGTAGAAATACCATCTGAACAGTGTTGTTTTCGAATCCTGTTACCAATTTTACTTAATAGCTTTTCAGAAACCGGAACAGTCGTTCTTGTACACTTAAAAAATGGGGGTGGGTCTGAAGCCTTCATCTTTTCGAAATAGTGGAACTGGCCTTCTAGATTTCTAGTTCGATTTATAGGCCTAACCTTAAATTGTCTATTTTGTTTCTTATGTTTTATTGTCACGCAGAATCGAAGCATTACATTTAAAAACATCAACACTATTTTTTCCTTATTAGACTTCATTTTCACTAAAAGTTTTTGTTCACACGGACAATATACAAAACCAGAAAACGCTGCTAAACACGTTAAAATAATTCCAAAAAAACGGAGAATGACATAAATAACACGAAAGAACCAAAGATTCAGAATTTATATATTCTTTGACAGAACGATATCAACGGTATGGATCAATGGATCAACGGCAAACGGCAATCGGCTTATAAAATAGGTTCTACGACCCTACGGCGACCGGTGTGCGGCGACCGTCAACGTTAACGGCAACGGCGAGTTTATAAATCGACAGTAATGGTGGGTTCCTACTTCGAGTATTAGCCCTAACCTTACCCTTAACATTAACCCTAAGGAATTAACCTTAAGGAAATGCCGTTCATGCTCTTATCTTTGCCACAAGAATTATTTACTTGCGCAGGCGCTCATGTGTTCTGTTTTAGCTTTTTTGTGGTTAACCTCTTTGTTTTGAGTGTTTCGTAATTTTGTATCTTAATCTAAGTTTTGTATTAATTTGATGATATCTTTCCTTAAATCTAACAACGAACAATTTATTCAAATATATTTTATTCACCCTGAGTTCTTTAATTGGTTAAAAATGAACACCGCAGCACTTTTGGCTTTTGCTAATTTTCTACATATGGGTGCAATGATGCTGCTGGAAAAGAAAAACAGTCGAAGATTTGCCGTTCGGCCAATTAACAGGAAGATGAATAGTGAGGGACATTTTGTCACTCTAGTGAATGACATGAAGTTCTTAGAACATGATACGCAGCAATTTTTAAAATATACAAGAATGTCGCCAACACAATTTGACGATTTATTAAGAATTGTTGGCCCATTACTCCAAAAACAGAAGACAACTTCTAGTCCAATAACACCCAGTCATCGATTAGTGATGACCCTTCAGTATGTTATATATACAATACGTAATAAAAACATATAGAGATAATTATTACTTTTTTAGCTTTTTGTCTGAAGGTTGCTCCATGCAAGAAGTTGCGTTTAACTACAGAGTTGGAAAATCTACAGTTCACTACATAGTAACTGAAACATGTGAAGTTCTGTGGAATGTCCTTGTACAAAAAGTTCTTCGTGTTCCAACAAATGAAGAATGGAAAACAATTTCATTAAATTTTTTCAACAAGTGGCAATGCCTAACTGTATTGGTGCTGTGGACGGAAAACACATAAGTATCCAAGCACCTAATCATTCAGGATCGGATTTTTTTAATTATAAGAAAAGTTTTTCTTTGGTCGTAATGGCAGTTTGTGATGCATATTACAAATTTATACTGGTAGATATAGGTACTGCAGGATCAAACCATGACAGTACCACTTTTAAAGAAAGTGGATTTGGAAGTGCACTATTAAATGAACAATTAGATTTACCAGAACCACAAGTGTTACCCAAAACAAATCAGAGTATGGAGCATTTTGTTGTAGCAGATCAAGCCTTTCCTTTACATAAAAGAATTATGAGGCCCTACCCAGGATCAAATTTGCCTCTAGACAAAAAAATTTTTAATTACAGATTGTCTAGAGCTCGCAGAACAATAGAAAACACTTGGTATATTGGTTCAAAGGTGGCGTATATTACGGAAACCAATAATTGCCAATACTATTAATTGTGAAAAATTTGTGAAAGCCACCATTGTTCTACACAATTATTTGCAAAATATTGAACAGTCAATTCCAGTTAATAAACGGAAATATTGCCCTGGAAGATTTACAGACACAATTTTAACAGATGGAGATATATCCTGTGGAACTGCCAGGTGTAATTTAGCGAGCGTGAAACGTTTAGGCTCAAATTATGCCCCTCGGTCCATTCAAGGAAAGAGAGACTGCTTGAAAAACTATTTTATGTCTGAAGAAGGTGCAGTTCCTTTCAGTGGAATCAAGTAACACGAGGGCAATTAGTTGTAATTGTTGATTAATTAGTTATATAGTTGTTTATATAGTCTTATATTGGTTTTATATAGTTAGTTTATGTAGTCGTATATTGTTAGTTATATAGTTGTTTATATATCTTAAATTGATTTAAATAAAACATTATAAAAGTGCTTCGAACATTTATTTTGAAATAAAATTATACATAAAACTGTTTTAATCTTCAGTCAATACCTAGTTATACCGTAAGTAAATCCCCTTCTATTGAAGTCTCATTTGTAATATTATAAAATAAAGTTTTGATTTCAAGTTTATATATTATATATTAAATTAATTTAAATAAAACAAAAGAGTGCCACAAACATTTTATTTACAAACATAATTAAAATATAAAATAGGTAGGTTTAATCTTGAAAATCTTCTTCTGTCAAATTTTCACTCATTACATTGTAAAATAAAGTTATTATTTTAAGCTTTTTACAGGGTTTTTAACCTTACTAAGTGTAGCTCCGATACCCTGTCCAAATATCATGTCTTCATTGTGAGCTTCCAAGTGGTTGTGTATTGCTTCACAACTATTTTTAAAGGCCACATAAATGTCTTCCGATGAAGATTTTTGCCTTTTTCGAGTCATCGGTATCTGTACACACGATTTAGTTGAGACACTCGAAAGCTGACTCCCGCCAGCAGACAATTCTACTGGCCCTTCTTCAAAATCATTGTCTGACGGTGTTGATTCAGATGTACTAAAAATCATATATTTATTTCAGCATATTATTATCTTTAATGTCTGTGTTTACCTTGTACTGGGCCTGGATTGTTGACTGTAACAGGCTGGATCTATGTAATCCTCTAAATCCCCAGAAATACTGGACGGACCCGCCTCTTCGATATGGCACTTTTTTATATTGCCTGAAGTACTAAAATAATTTATGTTTGGTAATTTATTAAAAATTAAATACTATATAATATAACCTACTTTCTTTGTACAATAAAATTGTCCAAAAAACTCATATTTGTGTAATACTCCCATATTTTTCCAGCTGCAGATGATCCACTTGGAATGGTTTTTGCTATTCGCTTTTCTTTAGTGTAGCGATGTCTTAAATTTACCCATCGTTGTATGCACAGATCAGCTATAAAAAGTATGTATAGATATTATCATACCAAGATTCAATTTATTATTTTATAATTATCTATTCACCTGGTGTATTTAAAATTGTGGCAATCTTATCCCATGTGTTCTCAACAAACTGCTTGTTTTTAAACAATATATTCTCTTTATCATATAAACAAGGATGAGCCTCCACTAATTCAATTAATGCCGCGTCGTCAAAACCCATATTAAACAAATTTTAGATGTTCATAAACTTCTAGAAGAAAATAAACTTCAGTTGGGCTCTACGTTGGCATCGCGTCGTTGACAAGAAACAAATGAAAAATGAAATAAAGACAAGGTCATGCCACCACAGCACGCCAATAATTCGATTTGGTATTATACCTAATCTAAGGTATTTAGCCTTAGCCCTAAGAATATAAAATATCCCAACCTGTTAGGACTAAGCCTAATGTTAAGATCGATACAACGGAATCATGAACGCTAGCGTTCCCTAACGTTGATTCATATTCTTAGGGTTAGGGCTAATGTTAGTGTTAGGGCTAAGATCGGAAGTATGAATCCACCATAAAAGTAGCTTGTGTGTGGGCCGCATTAGATGGTCCCGGCAGCTTATGCCATATAACAAATTTCGCTTCTGTGGTATCAAAGAATCTAAACACTCTTTCTTTGCCGCGTTGTTTCGCTATCTGTCAATCGTTTCCTCGATTTCTAACCTTCAAACTAAACTACCTTATTTTATTTATTCCCTACCTCGACAATCGGCGTGTCTGGGTCCATAACCTGTTAGTTTTTGGAGGTTCTAACAATTGTTTAACTGAAGTATAACTTTGTTTAACACTAAACTTTATTGATTAAGCATATATAACATGAAACAAACACTTTTTTTCTATATTATATAAACTCTATTTTTTTTGCCAGATTTTTTGAAAAATTTTAGAGGTTACTAGATATTTCGAAATAAATTATCTGCTTTATTAAAATATTTAGTGGTGTGTTGTTGCATAATGGACGAAGCATTGTTGCATAAGCATAAAATGGACGAAGGAACGAAGTGAAGTGACGAAGTGGCGAAGTGTGAGTATGGGGCTATAAACTTTCCGAAACGTTCAGCATTTTTTTGTTCGTTAGGCAAATTTGTTTATCAGTAAACCTAACTGCTGACAAGTAGTTTCCGTTGAATTAACGCAGCAGTGTTTACAAAAAATAACTATTTTATTTTCTACATTTTCTTGCCGTGATAGCGACATTAAAATAAGGCAATATGTAATTCTTTGGATTTTCGTTTCCACAATTCTTTAAGAATTCTAGAATATACGTTGTATAAGCGCATTTAATGCCTTGCTGCGCCAATGGATGATACATTGTTAAAAACCTCGTCGGCTTCCAGTAGGCAATGTGTGGCCTCTATAGTCTGCAATAAAATCAATTATTGTTACCGAGGATTTGCTTCGATAATAAAAACAAACTTACAAAATGTGTAAGACAATTCCTTGGTCGGCCTCAATGACCTGGATCCAAAGATCCTGGCCCTCGGATATGATTAAGGCCCGCATGCCTTTTGCCGCCATAGCCTGCAAATTATACACTGGTTTACTAAGTTTAAAAGTAACGCCAGTAAAAATATATGGGAGGCCAAAGGCATTATTTTGACAACTTTGACAGTTAAACTATCACAATTCACAATAAGCGTTTATGGACTAATAGCGTTACCGCAAGCAGCTAATGTAGAAAAGACGCCATACGGTATTGCTACAACATAATAATAACTTATGAACTATTCTTCCACAAATAGATATCAAATAAGTTTATTGCTATATATCATATATGTTTAACAGTAATTGTGGACCATCTTTTATGGCAATGATTCAATCGGCCTCCAAGGCCTTCCAAACTTACTTCATTTCATGATGCACTTATTTATATTGTAGATGGTGACTTAGCAAGGGCACAGGAAAGAATTAATGAATCCCTAAAAAATGTAGAAGCATACTTAAATATTAGTAAATTGAAATTGGACGTATCAAAAACTAAAGCTATGATTATTACAACTGAGGCTAAACATAGAAATATAAATATTGATTCATTAAATATTCAAATTGAAAATTGTAAGATCGGAATTGAAAGTCAAATAAAATATTTAGGATACATTCTGGATAACAAACTTAGATTAGATAAACATGCTGAGTATATTATTTCAAAAATTTCGAGGTAAATGTTTTTTTTTATTAGAATCTCAAAGTCACTTTCTATAAACGCAAGAATCACACGTTATAACTGTATCATCAGACCTCACTTTTACTATTATGCTACACTAGAATGAGATGTATTCTGAAATGTAATAGATACACGCCAATTAGCACTATGTTGAAAACACTTCAATGGCGATCAGTATGCGATAGAATTTTTTACCTGAGTTCAATGTATGATATTTAAGGTTACAGGACAAAATAATGGACCAACGTATTTTGAAAATTTTCTAATTCGTAATAATGCAGTACACAATTATGCTACTAGATCAAGAAATAATTTTCACATTGCTAGAACAAATTTTAAAAGTAGTATGAACAGCTCATTTAACAAAGGTTTGGATGCATTTAATAGGTTACCTATTGAATTGAAAAACTTATCGAATGTAAATATGTTTAAGAGATATTTAAGACACACACAATGAATTTAATGTACCTATTTAGTAAATAGTCTAGTATTTAGAGTCTCAATTCGTTTTTAATGTAAAAAACATATGTATAGAGTGGGTCAAATTCGACGCTTTTAAATGGAAATACCCTTTTCTATAGGAGATAGACGAAAACTAATATCGGTGTCTGGAGCTCAATTTTCATCAAAAACATGATGGTGAACACAACAACCGCGCATCAATATCTGTTACAGTTTCAGAGTTACGGGGTGTTTTTCAAAAATGTGCATTTTTAACAAATCGCTGTAACTTTTTTGCTTTGGAAGATTTTGTATTTCTATGAAAACATTTCTAAAGCACCTTTTTACGTAGAATTTAATGGTTTAAGTGTATATATATTTTTTAAATTAATAATTTAAGAGTTATCAACAGAAAAAATGATTTTTTATTTGGGACACCCTCTATATTTTTAATTATCTGAAAAGAATTTAAAATTACCTTTCCAAAAATATAGCACACTTGATATTTTGTTATAATCCCCTTCGAAATACAGAATTTTTAAAAGTTCGCCACTTTTAACTACTAGGCTTTGGAGCCCTTATTGATGATATGCCCTTAATGGAACTCGAAAACATATTTTTCCAGCAAGACGACGTACCGCCTCTGAACGCTGAAGTTATCAGCAAATTTGTGTAGCCAATTTGAACAATAATTGAATAGCTAACCAAGATCCCAGCCGTTGGCCGTCGATGCCGCCTGACTTAGTGCCCATGGATCTATTCCTATGAACATATTTGCGGAAGAAAAGGTTCTTTATTCTTCCGTATAATCTAGGCAAGAATTAGAAATACTTAGCAGTTATGAGAGGGTACCTTTCACCCCCACTGAGTTAATGAATTCCACGAGAAATGTTCAAAAACTGCCCCGTCTGTCCATAACAGAATATGTCGAACACCTGTAGCAAAATCTCATGTCTTGGTTTGCTATTTATTTTTATTGTTATTAAATATAGTTTAAATGTGTTGATGTTGGTTAAATATATTTCAAATTGTTATAAAATTCTGCATCTCTCATAGCAAATATTATTTTCGTTTTAAATGATGCTCACAGCTAGATTTTGTTTTGCATTACAGCCGGTGCCGTTAAAATCCTACTTATTTAAAGCGGGCGAATTTTTATATACTCTATATCTCGAAGAGGAATCGAGCAAAATATCAAGTGTGTTATGTTTCTGGAAAGGTAATTATAAATTCTTTTCAATAAATTAAAAATATACAGGGTGTCCCATATAAAAAATAAAATTTTCTGTTGATAATTCTTAAATTATTAATTTAAAAAGAATTATACTTATACCATTAAATTCTACGTAAAAAGGTGATTTGGAAATGTTTTCATAAAAATACAAAATTTTCCATAGTAAAGAAGTTACAGCGATTTGTTAAAAATGCATATTTTTGAAAAACACCCCGTAACTCCGAAACGGTAACAGATATCTATATGCGGTTTTATCTCCTATAGAAAAGGATGTTTCCATTTAAAAGCGTCGAATTTTACCCACTCTGTACATATGTGTATACATTGTAAATGTTGTATATTAGGCAAGTCCTACAATAAATATACTTATTCTTTTATTCTATTCTATTTACTTGCCCCTCCCTTTACGGTTGTACGCCTGATTGTACGACCGATGTTTGTCCGAATTCCTGTGACTGTCCCGCTGATTTTTCAGGCCGTATCCTTTCAAGGGACCCGTTTCGCCCATGCGACGGACCGGGCGAACAGTGTTTATTGTTTGGTTCTGAGTAGTGCCTTCACGAGTCTCCTTTTGACCTCGAGGGTCTGACTGATTACAAGGTGTCTTCAAGAATTTCCCTACATTTTCTAGGTTTCTGATAGATTTTATTTTTTCAGTCAAGTCATCACCAAAGAGGTAATCGGTAGGGGAGAATTTGTCTGAAAGCTCTTTCATATTCTCATTTAGTAACGGCAGGAAACAGTTTCTCCTTGAAACACTTGTCTTGTGAAACACGTTAGTCAGTATTTTTCCCGCATCTGACAAGCTTTTTAAAAGGTCTCATTTAAAATCAACCGTTATTGACTCTGTGTCATTTAAGATGGCCGAAATAGCTTTTCCTAAGGCACAAATGTCGTCGCCTAATTGATTTTGCTTTTCTGATTGAGCCGCGTCTCTTACTTTTGCCGAAGCATTTTTCTTTTTAATAGCTGATATCTCGGGATTCAGCTTGAGGGTAGCCCGATAAGACAAATTTGAGGGTACCTCATACTGGCCTAAGAGGTTATGGACTTCGTCCTTTGGTAAGCCTTTAAGAATGGTGTTTTTCCATCTAGGCACAAGTTCCGAATGCAATGCGAAACCAACCGTTTGGCTCTTTCTCGGGATTTTTCCCTAGAAAAAAATATTGTTTCAAACACCTCTTCAGGAGGTTCAACGTTGTTATGAATTTGCAGCATCGTTGCTAGTATTTGTTGAATTAACACGGCCCCAATCAAGCTCCAAGCCTGGTTATGAGCCAAATCTCCGGCCAAAGATCCAATCCCGGACCTGTTTTCCTCCTTACTCCGAGATCGTGACCTCAAAGGTATATCGCCATCATTCGAATTAGTTCTCTCCCGGCTCGGGCTTCGTCGACGACGACGCGCGGCGCCTTGCCAAAATAATATTTTAACTGAAGGAATTATTGAATAAATTTGTTGGAAAAATTATATTATATTGTTTTATTTCTATTAGTGGACTACTGTAAAAAATACCATAAAATAAAAAAAATGGC